CTTTCTTGTATTTAAACCCTTGACTTTTGCTTTAATTAAGTTTTTTTTTAGACTCGATCTGTCTAATAAACTAATAAATATAAGTTAGTTGGCAATTCAAACCAAAGACAACTTAAACATGATTATCTAATTCTTCTACATTAATTAATTAATTACTGCATCATTTTATCATTCTTAAATCTAAATAGAGGTAAAATATTTTTTTATCTTTAAGTAAAAATTAATAATAATAAAAATTTCCAAGTAATTAATAAACTTGCATATGCAGAATTAATCCTTTAACATAAATTCAAAATAAATTGTTAATATATTTAATATAACAAATATTATTTATGCTCATCAAAACATTATATATACCTTTTAAGACTGTTTGATTTATTATATATAGCAATCTAGTCTCTAACTCAAAATAAATCATATTTGTAATCTATAATAGATTTTTTAACAATAAAATCTTGACAAAATGAGTGAATCTGAATTTACTTGTCAAGATTTTGAGAAATGCATTAATTCCAAAAAAAATAACAAAAATAGTTTTACTGTTGCTTCCAAAGAAAATAGCCAAGATGACTTCACTATTACTTCTGAAGAAAATAGCCAAAATGGTTTTATTGTTACTTCTGAAGAAAATAGCCAAGATGGTTTTACTGTTGATAATGTTGCTCTTGTAGAGGCTTTTGCAAATGCTCAGTTCTTATTTGATGAAGGTAATAATGATTATGACTATAAAGAAGATAATAATTATGAAAATAGTGATGAAGATGTCAATGAAGGTAATAAAAATATTAATTATGACAATGAAAATACTAACGATGATGATGATGATAATGATGGTGTAGAAGTTAAACAACCATCTATCCAGGATCATAAGTTAACATTATGCATTGTTATCTATATTACCAATAGTGAAATAAAATATTGTAATAGTGCTGCAAACTTAAGATGATTAAGGCAAATGATACGAACATAGAAAATCGATATGAATGCAGCCAAAAGTATTAAAGATAACTTTCTGTAACTCAGAGTATGTCTTTCTTACTTTGCTTTCGATCAAAACCAACTTTATAGTAGTGGTGTAAAACAATCATGTTCAATTGAAAAAGCAAAGATCCATTTTTACTTTTGCATTTTTTGTCATAAAAAAGTATACTTTTTTGGCTGTGGCAGTGGCTGTAAAGAGCATTCATAGAAAATCAATGAAAATAATGTTCAAATACCTTGTATTGGAATTTTTAAATGCTTAACACTTACTGTGAGATCTATTACAAATAAATCATTTTCGAGTATCATGCTTGTTATATATATTTATAATGTTTCCAAAAACAAGACAAGCATTTATTGAAAGGCCACATAGAGGTAATCCTATAATGTTGTGTACTGAACTTGAAAAACATGAAAATGATACAAGTGATACTTTAATAGATATCAGAAGGTAGATAATCTCAGTAGGAAAATCACATAACAAAAAACTAAAAAATAAACTTTTATTATTCTTGGCACTATCTCTTCAATTATTAAATAACAATAACGAAGATAATGAAGTATTACAAGTGCATCTTCCTAGTAGCCTCCTCATTAAAACTGCAATGAAAATGGTAAAAATTGATTCTAATAAATAAATAGAAAAATACTCAAAGATTACTTCAGAAAAGACAACAATTATAGGTGAAAATATGGAAAAGGAGATTTTATCTCTGCATTTAGAGATCTAACTAAAAAGAAATCAATTAGAAAATTCAGGTTTATATAATGAGTATTTCAACATACTGCCAAATATTATTCACAACTTCTTTCAAGCTCTAATTATAGCAATACAACAAAAAAAATTATTAGTTACTAACAAATGGAGGAACCAATATAAACTTCCTCTAAAATCACTTGATATAAGTCATGTAACAAAAGTCACTACCTTTTTTACCTCCATGTTGTTAACAATAGCTTTTCTTGGAACAAAAATCTGGCTTATACATATTATATCATCATTATATCATAATCCAAAACTATTTCCAAACTTATGTGAGATTCTCCATTTAGTGAACATTTTATCTTATACAAAATAATATGAAAATTGGTTTAACAAAGCCCGAATGTTTAATACAAATCCTCTAGAAAGGCTAATTAAAGGACCAAATATCTGGAATTTGGCAGTTATCGACAACATCGATTTTAAAGCCTCTATCTTTGCAATAGGTAATATTGTTGATGTTGTACACCAAACCTCTTATGCAACACTGTAAATGATGTTTTAATTTACCCTTCCTATAGCATTTGAAAATATAACTGATAATAAAATTATTAATTATCCATTATTTGGAGAGTCTACAATTATTAGTAATCTTTTAATGTTATATGAAACTGTTTTAAATACAACATTAGAGAAAAATAAAAATAAATTAAAGATAGAAGACGTATATTTAGAAATTATAAAACAAATACTTTCATATTGTTATATTCTAGTAAATGTTGTAATCTTAGAATCTGTCAATCTACCAAATTGTGACATTAATGTTCATAATTCATGTGAAATATACTATAAAGATTTATCTATTGGCAATGATGACTGTCTTTATATTGATGTAATCAAGCAATTTTTGAAAGATTGATTTTTTACAAGGAAATACATTCAAAGGCTCAACTTATTTTAGGACAATAGCATACATTCAAAGACATGTGTAGCATATTAATTATGATATTTTCGGGATATGAAATATTTAATCTAGTAGCTACTCTTGGTATACAATATTTAGATAAATTTGAACATGCTATAGATTACCAAACAACATGTCGAGTCCTAGAAATAATCTGGATTGCAGTTGAAATTGTTTTATATCAGTATGTGAAAGATAAAGGGAACTCGATGCATGATATCTTAAAAGGAAATAATAATTTAATAAAAGTATGGTATCTTTTTTTTTGTTGGGCTGAATATTTTATTAGATACAAAATCAGAATTAGGAAAGGAAACTACCAAATGCAAATGGCCAATTTAGCCATCTTTGTACCTCTTTTTTTCAGTAACTGGTAATTCAATATGCAAGTTCAGTTGTGCATTTTTTGGCACAAGTTTATGATAATCCACAATTTTGAAAATTACTTGAAACAGTATATTCAATGTATATCATACATGAAGAACACTATCTTGTCTTTGATGAAACACTTAAAACATATAGTGTAAAATTTATTAAACAAAAAATTTTTGAAAATTTTACAGATCAGAAAACTATAATACAAAAAATTAAAGCAGCACAATGTGAAAGAAATTATCCGTCAATGCTTTTTGCAGAATATACTGATGATGTGGTGGTAAATCAAAATGCACATTCAATCCAATCCAGTAAAGACTCTCTTTGATCATTAGTTAAAAAATTAATATCTGAATTTAAAGCCCAAGATAAACATGAGTTATTCAAAGGCATGCTAAGAATTAATGAGGAAGGTTTTAAAAAAATTCTTGCCTGCTATGAGTCAGAAAAATCATGTCTTGAAGCAATACTTAGGCAAGACATGTGTAAAACAGAGTGACATATAGCTTTTGGACATGGTGCTCGAGATATAGACCGATACACATCTGCTGAATTTGAACAAATAAGAAAACAAGCAAATAAATACAAAAAAAAGAAATAAATCTAAAACTATAATAATGATAGAGAAAATTCCATTATTTCTATTAACACAACAGTCTCATGAAACTTCTTTTCTTACACATGTTTCAGATACAAATGGTAATAAAAGGCAAAAATGATGAACAACTATAGAAAAAGAAAAAAATATACTTTCTCCACTACTTAAACATGAAAAATCATTATTATTTGCTAAAATTCTTATAACACTTGATAAACTCAGTAAGGTTTCTTCAGATTGGACTATTGACAGGGTTAAACAATATTGAAGAAATAATAAAAAATCAGTACAACAATAGCTATAATTATAGAATAGCTATATTTTCTCACTCTTAATCGTGATTTCTTCAAAAAATATTTATAACTAAAAGATATATACTAAAACTTCATAAAATAAATAGATTATTCACTTTGACTATAATTTCTTTGAAACAATAACTATCTTTGGAAATCATTTATACTAGGAATTATATTGTTATTTGTTATGTAAATATATAAATAATTAAATAAATAAAAATTAATAAATTAAATAATATTTTTAACTATTATATCAAAACTAATTATACACTTGCACACACATGATAGAGTTTCAATTCTTAATTTAACTATTCGAATTGATCTCTAAATCTAGATAAATTTAAATATTCAGATCAGAGATTTTTATTCGAATTGGTTAAGAACTTAAATAATAAACCTAAGGATGTGCTACAAAGCTAGCTTAATATGTAATTTTGTGCAGATTCAATTCAGATTTAATAGAATCCAGATTGCCTGTCAAAAATGAAAATAGGACCAAAACTCTAAAATATAAGTTCTTCCATAGCAAATCAGGCTTGGAAAGTTTTAACCATAATTAAGATTTTTTAAAAACTATATTTCTAAATGCATGCTTTATTTGTGGCAAAAAATTTGATAAATATTAGCATATTACAATTTTATACAATTTCTTGTATAGTTAAAAATTGAAATATATCGATATATATAAAAGTCAATAATTAAACATTGATATTTATATATAAAAAATTTGGCTCTAAGCCTTGATTTGTTGTGAAAATACCTATATAAAAGATCAATTAGAAATAGGAAATACCTTTTCTATTAAATAATCAAATCATCCTTAACATTTCTATAAAATTCTGCAAGTTCTATGTTACCTTTTGTGCAAAAACATATTTTCTATAGTTTGTTATGAGGTTTATTAGTAATAAAACCTTTCTTTGTCAACTAAAAAAAGATAAATCCATAATTTTAAGCATTCATTTTATCTTATATAAGGGTTGCTCTAAGTAAACTCCAAAAAGCCACAAGCAAAATGCCATTGTACCATTAAGATCATTCGAAGTGTTCCTTGTTTTACACCTTTTAAAAAATGAAAAATGGTTAAAAATAAGGTATTCAAAGGAAGATATTGAAGTTTATAATAAAATAATAATAATCTTCAAGTCTGATTTTAATTCATATAAATTTGACCAACAAGCGGGTTTTTTATATAGAACTAAAGCATATGACTTAAAAAACATTATTTTTTTAAGGTCGAAAGATTATTTGTTGGAAGTTAATTGACATATTTCTGTTAAAAAGTCATGCCGTCATATGTTACACAAGAATTTACTATGAAGATCATCACGGGAGAGATGTCCCGTGCCTGCTATGGACTGATAACTGTATCCCGTGATTAACCCAAGATAATTCTTTTCTGTTCCACGGGTGATGTTTTTGTGTGACGGTGGGTCGCGCATATATAGTAAAGATGAACAATACGACTTACATAATAACAGATAATTAAAATTTAGTCATAGTAGCGTAGTATTAAAAGTTCCAAAAATTCCATGATAAGGTAGCGTATTTTTGGTCCAGGTGTTTTTATGGATGAATATGGAATTTGCTGAAAATGGAGATCCATTTGCACAAAATAACCTTGGATTCTGCTACGAAAATGGCATAGGCACAGCCAAGGATGAAAAAAAGGCATTTGAGTGGTATTTGAAATCTGCTGAAGGTGGCAATTCGAATGGACAAGCTAATCTCGGAGTCTGCTATGACGAAGGCATAGGCACAGCCAAGGACGAAAAAAAGGCATTTGAGTGGTAATTGAAATCTGCTGAAGGTGGCAATTCGAATGGACAATTTAATATCGGAATCTGCTATCAATATGGCATAGGCACAGCCAAGGATGAAAAAAAGGTATTTGAAATCTGCTGAAGGTGGCAATTCGAATGAACAAGTTCGTGTCGGAAACTGTTACAGAATTGGCATAGGCACAGCCAAGGATGAAAAAAAGGCATTTGAGTGGTATCTGAAATCTGCCGAAGGTGGCAATTCGAATGGACAAGATAACCTTGGATTCTGCTACAGAAATGGCATAGACACAGCCAAGGATGAAAAAAGGCATTTGAGTGGTATTGAAATCTGCTGAAGGTGGCAATTCGGGTGGACAATTTAATGTCGGAATCTGCTATCAATATGGCATAGGCATAACCAAGAATGAAAAAAAGGCGTTTGAATGGCTTTTAAGATCTGCAGAAGATGGTAATCCTGATGGACAATATGAACTTGGATTATGTTATCGAAACGGTATTGGAACATTACCTAATCAAGAAAAGGCTATTGAATGGTTGCAAAAAGCAAGGATTAATTCTTAAAAAATAAATAATAGTAAAAATATAGACATTGATGATGATCTAAAAAATATATTATTAGAAAATAATTTAATATCATGGATTCCATTTATTGAATTAAAAGTTATAGAAAAAGTTGGAAAAGGCGGGTTTGCAACAGTTTATCAAGAATTCTTGAAACTAAATTTTTTTAGAGAGTAAGTATAAAATTATATTAAATGTAAGGATCATTTTTATCACGCTACATGGACTCACGTTAAAAATGGAATTAAACATGAACCTGTTGCACTTAAATTATTTAATGGAAACAATGATAGCTGCAAAGAACTCGTGAAAGAGGTAGAGATTCGATATTTTAATATTCTATTAAATTTTAAAGAAGTTTACTAATAATATAATTAATAAATATTTTTAAAGCTAAATGCATATTCTAATATCGGATCTAAAAACCAACATTTTTACAATGTCACGGAGTATCAAGGGATGAAGGTACAGGAGATTATATTTTAGTTATGCAATTGGCAAAAGTAGGATCTTTACGTATGAATCTTTACAAAGTTGCACAAATGGAATGGGCGAAAAAGTTAGAATTGATATCTTATATTGCTTTTGATCTTAAGTCAATCCACTCTCATGATATTATTCATAAAGATTTACATAGTGGAAATATATTCCAAGACGATTTACATACAGCATATATTGGAGATTTAGGATTTGCTACAGCAATAAATAAAACATTAGATACGGGAACTAAAGAAATTATGGAGCAATACCGTATATTACACCAGAAATTTTACAAGGAATGCCAGTTACAAAAGCATCGGACATTTATTCTTTTGGAATAATTATGTGGGAAATCTCGTCAGGAGAGATTGCATTCTCTAAGTATGAAGGTAATGACTTAAGTTTAATTGTAGAAATTTGTAAAGGATTAAAACCTCATATTCTTGGAGGTACAGCGACATGTTATGTAGAACTTTTAAAGAAGTGTTGGGATAAAAATCCGAATAAACGGCCATCAGCTTTAGAAATTTATGAAACTATTACAAAATGGAAAACTGACAATAAAATTTTATCAGAATTTATAAACTCTGATAAAGATATTATAATAAAAAATAGTCACTCTAGCATTAGTAATAATAATTCTATATACAGTAGTAAAATGATTAGTTGTATCAATCAACAGCTACAACAATGTGTTATATCGGATAATAATATTGATGTTGAAAACATAAAAATGGATATTGACACTACTCAAAATATAAAAATAAATATGGATTCTAAAATGAGAAAAATGGATATTCATTATAAAAAGAGAAAAATGGATATGAATTCTGAGAAGAGAAAAATAAATATTGATAGTGGTGATATAGAAGGTTAAGAATAATACTGTAGCAAGAAATATATTAACATTTATAGTATAACCATTCTATGTATTTATTGCGTAGCATATTATTGTAAATAAACCATTCAAATATATAATAAATTACTTCATAATTAGCCTAATGATTAGAGTTTTAGAACTTCTAATAATAATGATAGTAATATGCATGTTGTAAATGTGAAATCTACTTACTGTATATTAGAACAGAATAACTATAATAAAAATACTAGTTCTAACCTTAAAAATTTAGGATTCCGTTCTCACGACATTGATATTGCAATGTGGGCCCAGTTTTAAATAAACGTAACCATATTAAATATAATACTTTATTATTAATATTAGCCTTTAGTTTTTATTTAATGTTGATTCAAATTTTCATTTTATAGAATTTGATGGAGATTGCATTTTCAAAAATTTCCAATATAAGAGTTTTATTTTAGATTCTCAATAATTTTCAATATAAGAGTTTTATTTTAGATTCTCAATATCTTGTTCTATAATTTTCAGTTTCACTTCATTCAACTTTGTTGCCTTTAATCTCCAACTCCCTATTTTTAATAAACAAACATCGATATGTTTTATATTCTCAGTGATTTCTTTCTATAGCTATGGCTTCGTTTCACTTAGCGTTAGTGTCATATCTACTAACAGTTATAGTGTTCTTTAGTTTAATATACATAGTAAATGCACACATATATCTCAATTGCATTCTCATTGTTACTAGAATTTGCTTCATCGTATATCTATTAGTATTCCTCCTATACTTGAAAGTGTAGTACTTTTCCATTGTACTAAGATTTTCTTTCTCTTATTGCGAGCACTTATCATGTAATTTTTCTTTAGAAAAGTTTCAAATTTCTTAATCGACTGACAAATTTGCAACCTGGATATCTCGTTTGATGTGTAATTAACAGCAATAATAAATGTTTATGTTGACTATTAATAAATACGTTAAATCAGCATTTTAAATTTAAACCCGCCTACGTAACATTTTTTAGAAGAATGCTATGTTCTTGAATGATCATGCAACATCTGGCAAATTCAACCGTAATGCGTTATGATATTATTTTCTATTAGTTTATACATGTCACAAGTGGAAATGGAATCTAAGTTGATTCACAATTTTTAAGGTATAATATTTAATATAGCAATTCTGTTCTATTTGATTTCCCCAGTGTAGCCAACAAAAAATCTCGGGTACGTAATGATTGAAAATGCGGTTATGTTAGGGTTAGCTTTACTTCAGGTTTAGGTGTTAGCGGCGTATAATAGTAAAATCACGCAAGAAAGGCTTTTTTGTTAGAGCGCTAAAGGTTTCTTATGTAGCTTTTTGAATTATGGGCGATTTTTGGCAAAATGACCATTTGCTTTGAATTTTCCCGCTGTTTCAGGAGATGTATAAAAAATTTTTCAAGTAAAATGTATAGATTATGTTCATGATGAATCTTAAATTCTATTAAACTTTATTAAATACTTGTTCTTGGTTTTAAAAATAAACAGTACATTATGATTTCATGAACACAAAAATTGAGTTAAACGTGTAGTAAAAAAAAATCAGATTAACAATATAAGGAGAAATTCATCTAACTATGGTCTAGCATCATCATTGAATCATACTGTATTACTATATATGTTATGCGTCATTTGTAAATTCTGTCAATTATTAATTGACGTATATCATTTTTCAATTGAAAACCGACATGCGTCATTTTTCAATCGGTATATAATTTGCAGAAAGATTTATTATACGTATTATGTTTAACCGAAAATATTCAAATTTATGCAAGATATATTAAAACTTACTAATGTAACTAAACATGTTTGCATTGTTCATTGGGGTGTCAACCATTAGTATTATCACAAACATAGTGTAAGCGGCATAATGAAGATCACTAATCAAGATTTTTTATAATAAAATTTTAAGATCTGCATGCTCTAATTAATGCTTATGGAAAAATACACTTCACTGCGCTTTCAATTTCCCTTTCAGTATTTAATATTTTCTAATTTTAACAACTTTATATATTGTATTGAATGTGTCTTTATATTATAACAATGCTAAATCTTCCATCTTTCTATATGGTTAGTTTACAACAAAAAGCAAAAAATTTTATAACTCAATAGGTAAATATTATATTAACCATTAACAGACTGTTCGATGTGCCTTGAATTAATAATGTGCTTATGGTATTTTGATTTGCAACTATTAACTAAAATGTATCAAGTTAGTATTTTTGAGAATGGATACTTTTAGTTTTTTTGCTTGTTTACCTTTGTTTTTTTTTTATTTTGATCTTATTTAAGATTATTAAGTATAAGTAATGAATTTCATACTTGTATACATAAAGTCTTTATGATCTTGATATAGTAATCAGAAATTGTTCTGAATTTATTTACGATTAGATCTATGTCATTTTCTTGACAATTATCTACCTTAATATAGTAATTAGCAATTGTTCTGCCAAATTTATTTACTATTAAGCTAGGTTGTTATCTATCTTAATATTGTAATCAGGAATTGTTTTGACAAGATTTATTCATTATTAAATCTATATCATTTCTCTGAACAATTATCTAGCATCCAAAATTGTTGAGAAAATAATTGTAAGATAAATGTGTATTACTATTCATCATAAATGTTTATTAGTAATATTATAATTATTATATTAAACAATAGTTTATAAAATGTAAATAAAAAATATAAAAGAACATATTTTGTAATTTTTTATTTAAATATAACCTGCTATTTAGCAATTGAGTAAATAAAAAATAAAGCAATAAATTTATTATATAAAATTTAATAATATATTCAAATAAACTTCTAAAAAAACCAATATTCATGAGTCAATTAAATCTAAGAAGTAGACAACATAAACAGATTCGAAGTTTATGCAAATGTGAGTAACTAAAAATGCTGCATAAAATTAAAAATAATTCTAGCATTATGCTTAATCACATAATTTTAGCTTTTGCACAACTAAATAATAATAATTTTAACAATATAATAAAACAAATTTGTGAATTTTAGAAAATAAATACTCGAATTTAAAGAAAATATAATGATATAATTATTCAAATCTGTAACCTACCAGATTAACAAGTACTCAATGCATCTATTCTCATTCAATCAATGATTTATCATTGGAGAATTCATAAAGGAGAAATAATTTCTACATATTTACAAAAAAAGGCTTTCAAGTTTATTGATTCTGATATTTATAAACATCATTATACTGTTAATACAATGGAATCAAGATTCAAATTTTTTTAAAAAAACAATTTGTTATTTAAAAAATAATAGATCATCTTTGAATACTAACATAGGTCAAATGAATAAATAAAAGGTAAAGAATAGATAAATAACAAAAAAAAAATCTGCCATTATTCTACCCTATATCTGCAAAATAATGGCAGCATAACAGTAAAATAACAAAAGATTTGTCAATATGAGTAATTTTTTTTTTTTTTTAATAGTGAGGCCATGCCTTTATCTTTATTGAATATTTATTTGAAATTTTTACATAAAGTATAAATTTATTATTAAAAATATTATAAAAAGAATAGAAGCCTAGACTAGTTTATCTGCAATCTAAACTAATAGGAATGGTCAAGGCTCACCTAGATTTGATTATTAGTAATTATGTATGAAAGATTAGTTTGGTATTTGATCTATTATATATATCAGGAATTAATTTTAAAACAAATTGAATTAGAAAAGAAAAATTGAGGTAAATATAAAATAGAATTTGAGGATGAGTTAAAAATAGAAAGATGAGATATTGATCTTGAGATACAGTAAGAAATCCAAATTTTATGATATATTTGTTGGTTAAAATGAAGTAAAAATTTGATAACAAGTATTGTAACTAATTTTTTAGATAATAAATTTGAGATGATAGAGATAATTTCATATGACACTAAGCCAGATAAGGTTGAAAAGACTAATGGTAGGTCTACTGTGTTATGTGTAGTCATACAATATAGTTGTTTAATTTGGCAATATAGTTTGGTTATTATTTCTGAAATAATGTCAAGTGTATTTGTATTTAGAGTATATTATAAAGGGCTGTTAATAAGGTTGTATAGCAGCTGGTTGGATGGACATGTTATTCAGTGGAGGTGAAAACTGGTTTTATGACATTGATGACAGGTTGGTGGATATGAGTGATATTATTTGTGAAGAATATGTGAAATAGGAAGGTCATCAAATAGAATTTTAATTTTAAAAGATTTAAGAGCAGTAGATTAAAAGCTATGTAAGAAGTTTGAAATTTTTGGTTATTGTTAATATATAGCCAAGTGACTTGCCAATTAAATTGGTTAAAGATTTTGTTCCATTTTTGAAATCAGTTTTGTGTAGTCCATAGTGCATAGATGTGTGCATAACAGATTATACAAATACTGCGACAAGTAAGTAATTCTAAAGAAAAGTTTTCAAAATTTAGAGTATAAGATGAGTTATAGATATTGTAAGATATAAAGTTAGATATGGTAAGTTGTAATGGTTTCATGCCAGTTGGTTAGCAAGCTTATTATATGTGTTATCTTGATGTACAGTGACTTTGTAAAAAATAATTTGAATTTTGTATAAATTAACAAAGTTAATTAATGAGTTCCATAGTGAAAAATATGATGTATGTATGTAAGATAAGGTTGTAGAAGAGTTAAAAATGCTTTGATATTTAGAAATTACAGATTAAGAGTCTGTATATATATTTTTGGTACTATTTCTAGGAGCAGTAATGAGGGCAGATAGAATGATAGTAAGTTCAGCTTTAAATGAACAAGACCAAAGTTTTGTTTGAGCTTGAAATGTATATAATATGGAGTTATTAGAGATTTGGACCCATCCAATATCCATTGAGCATTGTGGAGTATCCAAGTCAATAACAGAGCCATCAGTGTAAAAGTAAAGTTCTAATAAGCTAGCATTGTGGTTGGCTATTTGTTGAAGGTTATATATAAGTGAACAAGGTTCAAAAATTACAGAAATTGGTTGAATAAGAATAGTAATATTTGGAAGGTCTGGAATTTGAGTAGGATGTCAGATTGCAATAAAGTATATAAGATTGAGATAATTAGCATTAAAGTTAAGAGTTTTGTTATGAGTGTTAACTTGACCCAAAAATTGAGTTAAGAGATTAGTAGGAATAACAATTGTACATTTGTTAGCAATTATTTGGAAGTTAAGAGAGTATTCAGGACATATATAGGATTGAATAGGTGGAAGAGAATAGAGTCGAGTAAATTGTAATTTAATATTGCATTGCTAGTGGGTAATAAGGATTAATCCAGAT